TCCCTACCCTGCAACACTCCCCCTGTGCCCCTCATAATCATGCACTCCTGTTTGTCCTGCATTTTCTCAGTTTGAATGGTGGTCCTTTGGTGTCCCATGGTTTATTGCTTAGGGGATGCATTACCATTGAGTGTGTGGGTGCAGCATCCTGGGTTGAGTGGTCTGTGTGTATATCTCACTAACCATTGGGCTGAGAGCCCACCCCTGGGGGTGAGTTTTATTCCAGGCGCTGAATGTATTTCAGGGCCATAGTAATGGGAGTCTCACCAGACTTCATCTGACCAGTAATTCTGGTCATTATTGAGTTTTTGGATTTTGTTCCACGTTTTCTCTCTCACACTATCCAGGATCTCCAGATTTGATCCTTTCCTGAGTGGTTGGCATTGGTAGCTGGGCACCATCCGGTTCTTCTGGTCTCGAGGGCCATCGTGTCCTAAGATTAATTGCTTCTAAATGCCCTTTTTTTTTTTTTTTGCATTCTTCTTCACTTCCGAAGCTGGGAGACCACTAGCTACATTCTAGATGGCTACTTGAAAGCTTTTAAGACCCCAGTCATTTCTCACCAATGTAGGATGTGGAGCAATGCTTTTATGTATTTTGTTGTGCCAATTGAGTCTGGTGTACCCCAGTACTATGGTCCTGAGGTAGTAGCTCTATTGGATCTCTCTCCCATAATGTTGGGATGTCTGTGAGGGATTGCTCTGTGTCTGTTTTCTATTGTTTCTGTAAGGAGTGCAGTATTTTGTATCATTGGTGTCTGTACAAGATGAGCCTCAGCTGAGTCTATCCTTGGTCTTGAGTATAACTCTATTCACTGATCCCTGTCTGATCATCTCAGGTGTTTATCTGTATAGCCTAGTGTTTGGTGTTAATGTAGTATTGTGGACACATTGGTTGGTTTTAACATTTGTCATCTATCTATTATGAGCACAGTTCGGTGTCCTCTCATTTCCCAATGTTATCGTTGTGGTCATCTATCCTTCCCGTATATCCTTCCCCCTACCCATGTCAGTGTGTAAGCCCCAACTAGCCCTAAATTAATCCCTCTCTTTCCCTCCCCATCCTGGTAACCTACTAGGTGAGTTCCCTTTCCCAAGCAAACCCTTCTCTGTCTTTTTACAGTAATGCGCTCATACAGCACTTGTCCTGTGATTGACTTATTTCACTCAGAATAATGTCCTCCAGGTTCATCCACGTTGCGAGATGATTCGCGTATCCCTCATTGTTCTTTAATGTGGCATAGTATTCCATTGTGTGGATATACCGTAATTTGGTTATCCACTCATCCATTGATGGACATTTAGGTTGTTTCCATCTCTTTGCTATGGTGAATTGTGCTGCAATGAACATAGGTGTACATATGTCTGTTCATGCGCTCTCACCTCTTTAGGATATATTCCTAGTAATAGAATTGCTGGGGCAAATGGTACTTCTATTTTCAGTTTTTTAAGGAAATGCCATAACGTTTGCCACAATGGTTGTACCATTTTACAATCCCACCAGCAGTGCACAAGAGTTCCAATCTCTCCACAACCCCGCCAGCATTTGCTACTATCTGATCTGTTAAACTTTGCTATTATTGCTGGGGTGAGATGATATCTCGTTTTGATTAGCATCTTTCTCATAATTAATGATCATGAGCAATTTCTCATGTGTTTGTTGGCTGCTTGTATATCTTCTTTGGTGAAGTGTCTGTTCAAGTCTTTTGCCCATTTGTGAATTGGGTTATTTGTCTTTTTGGTGTTGAG